TGGCCGAGAAATATGCAACGCTGCCTTCAGCTTGCATGTTGATGGTAGGTCTTTTTGATTGTCTACTCGAAATTTCACACGTGGAACATAACCTGTGTGATACAGTCGAAGAGGGGGGGGGGTGAGGGGCTGAGCTTTGCTAATGCGTACTTATCTACTCGACCCTGTTCACTCTGTGCGTCCATTCATCCCACGGGGGGGGGCGTGTAATTATACCTGAAATACGGCCCTATGACACTTCGACAGCCTCTAATTATTCCGATTGGACGCGGCGTTAATTGTATGTTAGCACAAACGGGCTTAGAGTGCGCTCCTTTCCCCGCCACGGCCATTTGCGAGTCGTTCTGAGCAAATGTTGAGACGAGAAAAATGATGCAACCGACCTTAAATCTCAGGCATTTATTCCTGTTCCGACAGAAAATTTACTCTTAGAGGCTTTTAAAAGCTAAGTGGATGTTAGATAATAAACTCACCTGCGTTTGTTTGTACCATCTGCGCTCTGATTCAATTGGTGAGTAGTATGCACATTTGATTTTTGATTAAATCACTTGTTAATGTGTCATGATTAGATGTAAGCTATCTTCTGTAGATGTTTAGGTAGCAGAGACAATAGAGTATGCGACGTATTGCTTTCCCGAAAGAATTTTGAACAAGGCAAAGATGACGGGATGCGCAGGATCAAATGACGTCATAAAATTTCTTGACCTCTTATGCACTTACTTATAGTCATTGTCTATTTATGGAACAAAAGATACTGCCCAGTTGATGATGCATCCATAGGAATGAAAGATGATAGATAGATAGATAAAGCATAAATTCAGTAAGTCAATTTAGGCGTATAAACGTTTTCGATGAATTCGTTATCAGACAAATACAATAATATAAAGGAGAGTAGAGATAAAAAAGTTTAAGCAACCAAACAGTAGTGATTAGGGGGGAAAGGGGAGAGAGGTGTTAAGGGATCAAACGGGTCAGATTCTAGTCTTAATTGGGGATCAGAGAGGGGAAAGGGGAAGGAGGGAAGGGGTCCGAGAACGTTCGTTCACCTAACTCGACTTCCTGAAGGCTTACATTGGTATCATCGCTGAATTAAAAGCACGAGGGTTACGGTGAGGGGAAAGAGGGTGGGGACCACTTACCGAAGCAAGCCAGTTTAGGTTACAGTGTCAACCTGTCATGCGTGGTTAAAGATGCAAACGGCGAGCAAGCTGTCGGCCATTTGGAAAGGGAAGAGAGTGTGAGTAGACGGGAGAGGGAATGAGGTAAGGTCCTTTATTGATTCTTACCACGGTACTACGAGGTTGATCACGTTTTGACAACTGCCTCATTTCCTAAACTGTCTAAATCGGTGCATCACATAAGCAACATCTAACAGGCAAATGTTTTATTACACCCTGGGAAATTGCCTTCAAAACATGTACGTTCAACATCCTTGTTTGTCCCTTTTGGTTATGGAAAACTTTTGTTTTCACGTGCACACTCCGTCTCTGCATGCTGACGCACCGAAACATCCCGTTCCTCTTTTCGCGCATACTCAATCATTTCGTCCTCAAAAAAGCTCCAAGGGACGGAGGAAAGAATGAAAACCGTTACCGAATTCGACTGACATCCTCCACCACATTTCAGTCCATGCCAGATGTGTTTTCAGCCTCCTCAAGCCGGAAGGAAACGCGTTTTGGTAGCGAGGAAGACTTTCGGGCGGGCCGCTCTCTACCCATAATTCCCAGTGACTCTGGCAGCAGACAAGAACGACAACCCACAACGCAGGCCAGCAAATTGGCAGACGCTGATGCTAGTCAGTTCAACAAGGAATACGAAACCGAAAAAAGGCCAGAGATGGATCGATGGCGCATTACCCACTTTCGTGGGCCTATTCCAAAGAGCCGAAGCAGCCTCTCCCTTTTCGACAGTACTAAATCCTATTCACAAAAGCCTCCTTATCACCCAAGATTGCCTCTAGTCGATGCAGAGGATCCCAGGCTTGAAGGCGTCTGTACGAATCGATCTCTGCCTAATCTGTTTGACCTCTCAATCACTCACGAGTCGAGTACTATGGTGGAGAAGTTTCGGCTATTTCAGGATGACGCATCAGTCTCCTGCGGCTCCTTTAACCGTCTTCTAACGTCATCCCCGTCTGCTCAACCCTCGCCGATCCATCGTCTGACCGCTGGTGACAGAAGAATCCCGAGTAAACAATCCCTATCGTCCATTCCCATACACAAAACCACGAGCATGTAGACGCACCCTATTGTAGTGAACACCTTTGGCAGCATGTGTAAATTACAGACACGTTATTTGTTTTTTTAGGTTGCCGGAATTTTCTGGGTTTTTTTGTTTGCTCCCATATAAGGTCACACGGCTGGCTTACCTTGCGTATTCATGCTTCAAAAAGTAGATTGCAGTTGTTTTTGACAAATCCTATGTTTGTGGTGG